GACTGCAAACCTATAGTCCCCCCAGGAACTGGTTGGGTACTAATATCATTAAACAAGAGACCGAAAGGGCTTGTATTGCTCACCTGGATCTTTATGCCCAGCGATGGTATAAATAGCTATGGGTGGGGATCTCAATCAATTCAAAGTTATGAAGAATAAAGACCCTAAGGGTGAAGCCAGATCCCAGGGTCCATTCTAATATATGATATTGTATTTTTTTCTTAATGCCAAACAATGGTTTATATGGTTATGGAGTGGGGATCTCAACTGTCTAAAAGTTATGATGCAACAATTGAGTCCCTAGGGGTAGGGCGGAACCCCAGAGTCAATGATAATATCATAATTGTGTTCGTTTCTTGACGCCCATCAAACGTATATATGGTTATGGAGTGGGGATCTCAACAGTTTTAAAGTTATGGCACAGAAGTTGAGTCCCAAGGGGTGGGGCCAGCTCCAACGGTCAATCCTAATATCATAATTGTGTCCGTCTCGTTATGCCCAGCAATACTATATATGGTTATAGGGTTGGGATCTCAACTGTTTCATTAAGTTATGACTCAGGAATTAAGGCCTTAGGGGTGGGGCCAGACCCCAGTGGGAATTCTTATATCATAATTGTATTCGTTTCTTGATGCCCAGCTATCAATTGTATACCTGCTTATAAGTTTGGGATCTCCATAATATCTAAGTTAAACAAATTGTTTGGTCCTGCCATCCAGACCATCACTACCAGTTAACCAGTTAATACTATTATTTCAATATCCAACACTTTGTTCCAGAGAAGAAGTCGTTTTCAGTTAATGACCAAATAATCCATTTTTTGCCACGCCCCTTAGCCCCCTGAGGGGGGGGGGGGGGGGGGGGCGGGGGTCAGCCCCTCCATTTGTTCAATTTTGAATCTCCACCACCTACGAATGCTATATTCAAATTTGGTCAAATTCCAATAAGCAGTATTGTAGAAAAAGTCGTTTAGAGGCACAGCGGTCTAATGGTAGGACGCCGGGATCATGACCGAAGGGTTGCAGGTTCGAGTCACGTCATAGTGTTGTATCCTTGGACCAGATACTTTATTCAGCTTGTTTAAGTTTAATCAGCTATAAATGAGTATGTGGTTGGGCAGTGCTAAAATTGTAGAATAACAGCTGTTAGCGCAGAAATGGCAGCACCGGCTGTATGCTCCCCAGGGACTTGAGAAAGATATTGACTGGTTGCAAAGGCCCTATAACCACGAATAATAATTTATGAACCGCTTTGACACGACCTAGGTTTTGATAAAGCGGTATATAAGAACCTCAAACTATTATTATTACTATTATTGTTTGAAGAAATTGTCGACAGACGGAAGCCACGGTATGGCATAAACTCACTTTGGTCCTCTTGACATTTGAGCACTTATTACTTATAAAGCTTGTACAGTTTATTCTGCTCATATCATGAATGGAATGATAATTTATTTGTCTTAGGAATATCATGTTATCTTTACTTAAACTCAATAAATGATTGTTGCAGTATTTATTACATGACCATTTTCATATCGTTATCAATTAATAGACTTTTATTGAGGTGAATATGTGGTCATAATAATTATATGGACCTGAGAAAATGATACTGACCTTCATCTCGGTCAATATCAGCTTCTCAGGTTCATCATATTACCACCCCATATCCACCGAAATAAAAGTCCTTAGTTAATTGTTATCATTAAACAAGATGGAACATATGAAAATTGCACATTTGGAAGAGATCGAGCATTGTGACGTTAAAATCGAACTGACTTCATAAGTGAATAATATTAACCTGCTGTTTTTCTAAATATAGTAACATTTAGTCAACATAACAATTTAGTAACCTCCACGTGATTACCTATGATCCTACAAATGAGATTGTAGGAAAGTATGTGACATCTAATTTTACCCCATATTCACTCAAGACCCTGATATCAGCCCAAGAGCCTGACATTATTCCAATCTAATCTGTTTTTATTTTGTGTAGATAACCAGTTGGCTACAAGTTTTCTATCCCTTACTGTTTTCCTCTTGTATTTGCACATTTTATCTGGTCCACAAATGTTTTTTTGTTTTTTTTTAATTTGTGTCAAGTGATCATCTAGCTTAATTATTCTGTTTGCAAGTGTCTATAATTTTGGTCTCAATAAGCATACCATGCAATTATTTTGGAATCAGGCGCAAAATAAACTATAAAACAGATTAAAATCATGATATTTAACCAGGCTGATACAGGCTGTGATGTCACAGGGCTGATACAAGTTATGTTTTAACACATTAGGCTGATACAGGTAAATAATTACACACCTGACCGACAGATTTGGGAGGGGAGCGTTATATCGCATGGGTATTTTGATTGTATTCTAAACAAGAATTCAGAAATAATGTTGAATCAGACTCTCTACAAACCGGAACCCTCTACAATCTGTAACTCTCTACAAACCACCCAAATAATATGGTCCCTCTGGTGTTTGGTCTAAACAGAGTCCACTTATCATCAATATCCAGTCGCATTTCATTAAGGTAATGTGCGGATTCAATCCAATGTATCAAGAGTATGATAACTAATTATGCATAGAATTTGCTGAACTTTAAACTCAGCCTTTGTCTTTCTATAATATAGCATATTGACCAAATTCCAAAAAAATCTGGACATAATAGATATGGCTAAACTTCAAAGTTAGCCTCAGTCTTTGTATATTGTACATGATTACAAAGCTTGATAACATTTGAATCACATTTAACCAAATTAACTTGTGGAAACTAGGGATGCTAATTAATTATGTACAGATTTTGCTAAAATTCTAATTCAGTATATTTTTTTTTTATATAATACAGATATTGACAAAGTTTCATCAAAACCCTGTCATGGTTGTTGTGCAGAAAACTTAAACCATCAACCAATCAGAGGACATTATGCTAATTAATAATGCACAGATTTTGCTCAGCTTTAAACTTGCAGTCTTTGTAAATTGTACATGCTTAGCAAGATTCATTAAACTGAACACTATATCAATTGATTCCTATCGATTGGTTTGGTTTAATTTTGTTTAACTTCCTATTAAAAGTTAAGGTCGTTTAAGGACGTGCCTCCATGTGTGTATAGGGTATGCGCGCTTGCTTGTGTGCATGTATGCAGGAGACAGGGTATGTTGATGTGCTTCCTCTGGAACTTTATTATTAATGATGTTAACTTGTATTTGTAATGCTACAATTTTTCAGTGCAGAAGAATTTTGAGCACTCATTTGTTTTGAAAATCATGTACAGTCATTAAATGTGTGTTACAGGATGAACATCTTGATAGCTTTCTTAAACACAGACAAAATCACTATCAGATTGATGCTTTATAATGTTGCGCATTGGACTTGATCAATCACCAGGAAGCTCCTTTGGTTAAGGTTGTCATGTATAAGAGTTTGGAGGTCATAGGTTTGAATCTTGGTCTAGTGGCAATACCCATATAAGGATTCTTTGTTCTTGTCCTCGGAGTCAAAGACTATGGGAGGAATGCATGTAAGCGGAACTGGAGTAGGTGGATCGCTGGCAACCAGTATTTAGCTCAATTATTCAGAGTGCCATCTAGAGTTCAGAAATTCAGATTGGAATCCCAGACCGACCTTATCAAATCTGTTGAAATAGGTTTAATGTGCTGACTATGATGGTTTTATAATCATGATGTGGTCAAATGAGTCTGAATTCGGCTAATTATTAATAATAAAAGTGATATAAAATCTAACCCAGTATAATAATTATATGCTTGATATTCGAAGCATATTATTGGGGATATTCTGTTATTTTAATATTATTGATTAACAGAACTTCCGACTAACAGCTGCTGTGCATTATATAAGGGACCCGAGAATTTGAAACAGCTATATTTGGACCTAAACTAAGGTGTTCAGAGTAATTGTACATGTTTAGGGTTTTAGATTGACGAATTCGGAAACTCTGAACACCTTAGTTTATGACCAGATATAGCAGGTAGCTGTAAAAAAAAGCTCAAGTCCCTGTGCTGTGGTATGGGAATTAAGATGTGGAATTGACATGAAAAATGTATGGGCCTATATGATTATGGTTTCACAATCTTTTTAGAAGGGGTTTTGTCAAACAGAGAAAAAAATGAGTATGCTAATTACTAATATCCTTTTAGGCCTGTAATAAATCAAAATAATCTTGTAAGCTAAATTACCCCAATCCCCCCTTAAAAAGCTGATCACGAGTCGATAAGTTTTTGAGGCTGCCTCAGTTACCACCGCCATTTTGTTTCACATCAATGTACAAGCGCCTCGCCGATGAAACGGAAGGGAACGAATGTAGAACGGAACGAAACGAAAGCTCCACTCGGCTTGGGGCGGAGCGAAACGGAACGATTAGGGTAGAGAGGATTTAACATGGAACGAAGTAGAACGAAACGAAAAAAAACAGTCTACGACGGAAACGGAACGAAATGAATCTTGAGAACGAAATGAAATGGAAACGCGAATGAAATGGAATGAAAACGGAATGAAAACGCAAAATCTGTCAACTGAAACGCTGACACCTCTGTACCAGGAAATACAAGTGCGAATTTGAATAACTTTGATTTATATTAAATATCACAAGTTTATTAAGGGTTAACATTATTTGACTACTTTTGTAAATAGCTAATTAAAAAGTCTAGTGTTATTACATTTTGACAGCACCTTGCATAAATAGAGGGCTATCAATGTTGCTCATATGGAAGATTTCCACCAACTTAAACGCGGGTCAAAATACACATATTTATTTATTGTAAAAAAAAAAAATATTGATTTCTTTTTGTTAAATATCAAGCAACTTGGACAAAAATATCTATATATTTTTTAGAGGAGTTTGATGAATAAGAATGGGTGAAACTATCGTAAACATTAACATATTAGAAGATCTGCTCAGAAAACACACAAAAGCAAAGGATTCGTTAAAAAACTGGTACTTATTACAGGATTATGTAAGCAGGCTTACAGACGGATGGACAGATAGTGTGATGATATTAAAAGCTCTGCTTATTGCGCACATATCAAACGACGTCAAGCATACTTACACTTTACGATAACATTTGTTGTTGTCTTCGACGTTCCAACAACATTCCTAGCCGTGAAGCTGTACGTCCCGTGTTCTGATCTGCCTAGTTGTCCCAGTGACAACACAGGTGAGACAGTAAAGTTGGTGTTGTCAGGTTTTGTCCAGACAAAGGAACAGCCAGGTCTACAGTCAGCTGTACAGGTGATGTCCGGTAACGTGTCCCCCTCAGTCTTGGTGTAGGTAGTGTCCGGTGGGGACAGGCTAACAGTACCAGGACCGTCTGTAATACAAACACATTAGTTTTATTAATTTACTTGGAAAAATTATCGTAAAGTTTCTATTCATTGGATATACATCAGGGGTAATGCTGATAACTGACTACCCATCAACCCATTTAAAGGATGCATTTTCCACCTCAGACTGAATACGAAATAATTCTACTTTATGTTTTCGTACGTACAATAACCTTTCCTAAAATTCGTTTCGGATTTTACCTTTTTACACGACATAGATGAATAATGACTATGCATTAGTTGCAGTTATAGAAGATGATGGACGGAGGTTTGGGGACAGTTCAAGAATTAAAAAAAAACTACTTGTCATGCTTTGAATTAAAAAAAAAAAGTATCCATTATCCATAGTATCAAAAACATCAGTTACTTTATTGTTCAGAAAGTAACATTTTGCTCAACCATGGATGGTAATTTCGAACAAAATTTTGTGGATCGTCTTCGTAATTTATTTTTACATATTAGGTACATTTTCTAGGAAAAATCCGGCTCGAATTTTGCCATATGATCCGCGTAATACCTAGGTGTGCTTACATTTCAGAGTAATTCACGGAACCAAAAATCCACGAGATCGACTTTAAAAAAAAAAATAACAACTTTCAACGTATTAAAATCACAATTTCTTAAATATGGATTCGTCGAAAGCAGTTAAATTTAAAACAGAACGTCAAAGAGTAATCGGTAGATGTTTAGTCCTAATAGGAACCGTTGTAGAAATTGTCTGAACTACCATCAGAGTGAAAAATAATCATAAGAGAGAGCTTATAATGTAAACACAAATATACTGACTTTCAACGCTCAACGACTAAACGAAAGTCGTATAAGATTTTGAAGTGCCTTACGTTACAGTACCTTAATACCGAAGGAGGTGTTGTATGGCGGCCTACGACCTGTTAATTTTTTTAGCATATAATAATTAACTGGCATGAATTACACAGCTAAACAATGTTTGTTCCTTAAACAGAACCAATTGGTGACTGAAGCGCCCTCTACATTGATTGTTAGGATACCCAGGACGTCATGTACCTGTCGTGTTTAGAAATACACAAAACAAAATAGAGATTATCTTCCGTTGTTTAATGGCACTTATAATACCCTTTCCGATGGTATATATCAATTGCCTCAGTATGATGTCATTTTCTTGCAAATCACCTTTTTACTCATTATTTGTCATACAATTTAAACATTTTGATTATTGCATTTTTTGTTTAAGTGACAGGATAAGCATGATACAGGTCGGATTCCATTACAATTTTACACCTAAACATATTTTAAGGTATCCATCTTTCATGAATACAAATCTTGTAAATTTGTCTTACTGGATATGCCCTCTTTTCGGACCTTCTTTCCCCGTACCCCCTTAGCATTTTGCTAAATATCAAAGAACTGAAAGTCGGAGCGACGACCGTCACACGATCATAGAATGAGTATTGTTCAGGTTTTTTTTCAATATTATTTCGACCATAATTTAGTATTGGACATTATAGGAGATGAGATTAAGATTTTGTATAAAATAGGAAAGTGACTCATTTGGAATTACTTAGTTCAGTTCGACCTAAAACAAAAGCTGCTTCAATGCTTGGTCATGAAATTTGCACGCATCCGTTTCTGTACCTTTTCTTCAGGTTGATAAGTATGGATTTTAGAAAGGTCATGTCGTACAATCAAATATTTCTTCTTTTTTTTCCTGTTATTTAGGTAAGTGGTCAATAAATCAACACCAAATGCTTTCAGTCCAGGTACTCTTCTACTTTAAAACATCATTTAGGGAAGAGTTTTTACAAAAACATCTCACACTGTTCTGAACTAGAATATAGCATACTAACTGTAACAAATTCTTAGATACATGTAATCGTCAGCAGCGATGTTACTGATTTCAAACTAGTCCCATTGTTTTTATTTGTAAAAAGTTGGAAATGGGATCGTTGAACAAGTTTATATGTAATATGACGTAGCGTGTAGTTCCAAAGTTGCCAGTGTTTTAATGAAGATATACCGTAGCTAGAGGTCTGTCAACACGGACCTTGTATTACTGTAAATATCAAATTTATTTTCCTACTTGTTTGGTTTTATTTTCTTCATTTTCAACACAGCTATCTTGTAATTGTTTCCGACTAGTTAGATAGAAATCGATTATGTGATAAGATAAAAAATCTAAAGATGATACTATGTGTTAATGATGTACACCTCTGAGAAGTCTGAAATGTCTTGTATTAAACTTTCTTTCTTATATGGTTTTGAAAAGAGGAGAATATGAGAAAATAGAAAATACAAAGAAAATAGTATGTCCGTGTGCTCAGTATTTTGTTATGATCGGTAAAACATACCAAGTTAACATAATGTGTGACTTTTGGTGAAATTTATCGCTTTGGCCATGTGCCACCTACAATTCATACAATACTTTTCAAGTGTGCCATCAGACATTAATGAATAGTTACTTTTCTACTGAGCTTGGACTCAATATCTCTACCTAATATGTCAAAGGTTATTTTCCAGTGAACTTTCCAGTTGGTGTATGAATACATCAGCATATTATCAACCTGATTGCTCTGTAATTCTGCGGAGCACGGGAATTGGTTTTATCAATAGATTTCTTTTTTGCGGGGGGGGGGGGTACGTGGGAAAATTTGAATGGAATCAAAGAAAACTAATTTGCATCTGAATTTGTTTGTTCGATGTAATCGTTGCAAACAAATTGTTCATCTAACCAGGACGACATCTTACAGTGAGTGATGACGTCATTAGCTCCTGTATCTTCTGTGTGCAAGTATACATCTATTGCATTTATCGTTTAAATGTATTCGCTGACCTACGTTTTTAAGGCTGTCGCGGTTGATACAAAATATGGAACTTTAAAAAAAAATGTAATTTGTTACATGATACAGAGATTAAAATTGGGAAACACCCTCTATAGCATTCATGTACACCTATTGTCTTCATTGTGGAGTCATTTACACAATAGTTTCAGCACGGAAACTCGAAAGAAAAGTCAGTGAACTTTCAGCATGTTTTACAGATTCGTATTGAACGGACAGTTCGGTGATGTTTTTTCTGTTTCAAATTAAAGAGGTTATATTCCGGAAGTCACTTATATCTTTGGCACAAAATGCTATTGATTTATGAACGGATTGACGGTAAAAGTGAATGTAATTTATCATGTTACGATTGGATTGGATTGGATTGGATTGGATTGCATGCGTGCGTTTGTTTGTTTGATTTACGTCCGCTTGACTACTGCGTAGCTCGGTTATCAAGCAGACGGAACATATAAAGACAAACCACATCTGTATATAAACTTACAGTTGACAGTAACATTGACGTCACTAGATGTCCGACTCCCGTAACCGTTACTGACCGTACACCTGTACACTCCCGTCTGACCACGTTGTGTGTTGGTGAGCTGGAGATCTGACCCTGTTGTGTGGGACTGTCCATCCTTTGTCCAGATGTAGGTACAGACTGGGTTACAGTCAGACGAGCACATGACGGTAGGGAGAGTCTGTCCCTCTATAGGAGTGTAGGATGTAGTTGCTGGTGACAACCCCACACTGGAAGGACCGTCTTAATTAATAAATAATCAATAAACATATACCTTACTAGAAATTTGATTTTTTTGTCCTGTTTATTCTTTTTGGTGGAATAATGTTAAATCTCATTCTACATGGTAAGTTTTATACATACAAATTAATCTATCTACCTCATACCTATTTTGCTGTAAATCTGAATCAAACAAACTCTATTGCTTCTAGACATTAGAAAAACTTAAACTGAACTATTTGAACTATTCTGTAGCAATATATATCATTTTGAAAATGCATAAGAAAATTATTTCTTATATATACTTCTTACTTTGTAGTTCTCGCAGCATTTTTTTCAAACGTACATTAATTCAATGACGTCAAATTTTCAACAATAATCGAACACAAACTTAGCAACAACGCCAGTTTTTGATTTTTTTTGAAAATTTGCAACTTTAGAGTAATGTTACAATAATATTCGATATTTTTATATTATTTCAAGGTTATTTAACAATAATAAAACGTTTAAAATAATTTAACGTTCTTCAAAAATACCTACCCTGGGCAGAATGTGAATGTTTATCCGACGCTCAATTATATCATTTAAATCAGTCAAAACCTTTATTTTCCATCAGGCCAAGATTTCAGTATGGCTTTCAAAAGCCTTGCTTTGTTGCCCCACCCCTCTGCCCTTGGGGCCACCTACCGTTTATACAAAATTGAAGGGGGGTGGGGGAGGCACATCCACTGTTAATTAAAATTGAGTCCCCTAGACCTAAGAGGCTTCAAATTAAATTAGAATAAAATCCCTTCATCCCTACTCTAGAAGAAGGGTTTTAAAGGTTTAACCTCTATTTTCCCTATTGGGCCCCTCTCATCTGCCCCTACTGGGTCCACACCCACCGTTTATACAAAATTGAAATAGTTATTAAAGTAATGGACCGTAGAAGGCCACTCCCACATATATAAACAGTTGTTTTATATGATAAATGTTTTATGTTCGGTTGAACATAGTGAATTAGAACATTAGGATTAAAACTCTGTATCCCTACGCTAGAAAAAGGGCTTTAAACTTTTACTTCTAATTCCCATATAAGGCCCCTCTCTTCTGCCCCCAGGGGGTCACATCCACTGGTAATACGAAAGTGAGTGCCCTTGGCCTAAGGATGTTTCAGTCTCAATTAGGATAACATTCCTTAATCCCTACGCTAGAAGAAGGATGTTAAAGATTTTACCTCCATTCCCCTATTTGGCCCCACTCCTCTAACCCGTGTGGGATCACAACCACCGTTTATACAAAATTGAGTCCCCTTGGCCCAAAGATGCTTTAGACTATTTGACCCAAAATTGAGTCCCCTTGGCCCAAATATGCTTTAGACCATTTGATCCACCCATCTACCCCAAGGGGGGCCCACCCAACATTTATACAAAATTGAATCACCTTGGCATAAGGATGCTCCAGACCTAATTGGGATGAAATCCCTTAATACCTATGGTAGAAAAAGACTTTATAGATTTACATATATTTCCCATATTGGGCCCCGCTCCTCTGCCCCCAAGGGGGGTCACATCCACTGGTAATACATAATTGAGTCACCTTGGCCTAATAATGTTTCAGACAAAATTAGGATTAAATCCCTTCCGTAGAAGAAGGATTTTGCAGGTTTTACCTCTATTTCCCATATTCAACCCACCCGTCTGCTCCCAGGGCGGCCATACCCACCGTTTATACAAAATTAAGTTTCCTTGGTCCAAGGATGCTCCAGACTAAATGAGGATAAAATCCCTTAATCCCTATGGTAGAAGAAATATTTTAAAGGTTTAACTTCTATTTCCCCTATTGGGTCCCTCATCTCTGNTTGAATAAAATACTTCATAGCATTTTCATTGACTAAAACAAGCCTAACAGTGTATATGACTTACACATCACAGACACAGTTACAGTTGTAGTTGACTCCCCAACAACATTCCTAGCAGTACATCTGTACGTCCCGTGTTCTGACTTGTCCAGTTGTCCCAGTGACAACACAGCTGAGACAGTGAAGTTGGTGTTGTCAGGTTTTGTCCAGACAAAGGAACAGCCTGGACTACAGTCAGCTGTACAGGTGATGTCCGGTAATGTGTCCCCCTCAGTCCTGGTGTAGGTAGTGTCCGGTGGGGACAGGGTAACAGTACCAGGACCAACTACGAAGAACATATATGTATATACAATATATATAATCAGAAAAAAAAACCCATCTAAAGTCCTTGTGATGTTTAAATATAAGATAGAACAATGGGGGAACTGTTTATTTATGTTGACAGCACAACACAGAAAGTGATGATGTCATGATACAACAAAGATTGTGTTACAAAAAGAGATACATGTATGTGATTACAGACATGAGTATCGCAACGGACTTTTCGCAAGATTATCTTTTTTAATCATGCAACCATCTTTGCTGATAGAACAATTTAAACCAGGTTTTAATATATCGATAAACATTGATTCTTCTTAACATAGCAAATGAACAGTCCCCCCGATGAACCTCTTAGAGATGAACGCACTAGAGAGGTAATACTAAGAAACTCTTGCCATTTGTTATATATTTATATCATTATAAATTTCAACATTTTTACAATGTTGATAATTGTATATGTATATAGACTACATCGATGATGGACGCTTGTATATAGACTAGTTTTAATACGGCTGTTCAGGCCGTTCAATGACCACCTTAAGTGCCATGCCATGCCAACGTCACAACCTGGACACGGTAGCAGCACGATCTATATCATGTCACATTATACTGACACCGGGTACGCTACCCTAGTGTTATATACAGCCACAACCACTTTAAGGAAATTCAGTTTCAAAGCAAGTGATATTCTACAAATCATAACACAGGAGTTTTGAATCCATTTAATTAAATGATCACGTTTTTCATTACATCCGGTTATTACATAATACTCAACACAAGCACGTACTTCATAGCATCAATCAAACCCAGATTTACACACTACCTTGAATACTAGCACATCTCCCCCTTTTTGAGCAAAATATTGAACAAATATTCTCACAAAAGATAGTATCACAACACTTTATAATTAACCCAAATTTAGCATTTATACAGATCTTGTGTGCTGTAACGTACAGCAATTATGCATACTAGCTGTATTGTTTTTGTATCTTAATACCGGTAACCTATTGTAATAACGGTTGTATTTTCCCGGTTCACCAAGGCAGTTGTTGTGAAGGTACTTAAAATTTATTTGTTAAATTATTTAAATGCTGTGAATTTTCATTTTAATTGTTGAGTTTTCTGTTGCTCAGTATTTCCATACACAAGACCGTGAGGGTATGGCGACAGGTATCACGATCATTTGTCGGTGTAGCAGTAATAAATCATTCGACACCATCTAATTCATCTAAATTGATTTCACGATCGGGCGACCCTGTCAATGTGAGACTGAGTGCTTTCTGCAGATGCGGATCCTCTAGCGACGCTTGGCGGATCTGGGCCAATTTCCTGTCTGAAATATGTCTGGTAGACTCAATAGACTCCAAACACATATTCACATCCTCTTCACGTGAAGCCTGATGTAGTATGAGCGGACTCCTTAACAACATTTCCGGAACAACTAGCAGCTTTCTAGAATCATGTTCAACAACGGGAGCAAATCTCCGTAGACACACGAGCATATGTCCAGACACAAGTCAGCTGGTCTGCTGCATCGGGACTGTTGGCAGGTCTTACATGTTAGGTGGTATGATGTGTTAATGCATGGCTGGTATGAGGGGTTACTCAGCATCGTACTGGTTAGGTCAGCAGGCTCGGATAAATTGCAGAGTGGTTTGGATACACAGATGGGATTGCCTGATCAACACAAATAAAATGCTGTTTTACCTTAAAATAACAGCTAAGAATACTTCAGTTATAGCATAGATCATACACTTACTTGTACTAAGTTGATATCAATAAATTATATGAATACAATGATATTCACAGATTAAATGACAATGTTGGACATGTAGGAAGTATGCAATGAACGTCATTATTCATACAATGACACAATCCTTTTACTTTAGTCAATATGGAAATTACTATATTCAGATTAATTCCATGAACTCACCTAAATATCCCCAAATTGAAGATCACCATTATGTAGGTCTTGCTGTAGATTATGCACCATGGTTTTTGCTTTTTTCCTTTGTATTTTACATCATGCATGGCCCCATCTACACACAACAAAGTAAAGGTGCGTTCGATTACACACACTAGTATAGTATAGAAGGGCTCGATACGGACGATACCATTACACCATATTCCTCATCTTTTCCTGTTACGTATTCCAGGACATAGCTATAGCCTTCTAGCCATTTGTCTTTATTCAAGTCACCTAGTGAAAAATAGAGAGTTAAATGACACAACTGAAACTTGTGTTTTTAATGGAAAATTAATAACATTGTTTTTAGTATCCCTTCATCCGTCATAGAAACATGAATGTACAACCTTTAACATATAAAATCCATGGTAAAAGTTTTTGGACCACCAATCTGAGAAGCAAGTTTGAAAGAGTACAAGCATTTTTACTGATGTTACTAATAAGCAATTACTGTTGCGACACTTTCCTCAACAAAAACAACTTCCTTGAGACATGGTCCAGTAATTATAAGAGACATTCACAATATTGTCACACCAATGTACTGAAAAACAGGATTTACACTATTGATTCCTTATATCAGCTATTTTAGGGCTGAAATATTTTAGTGGTTGACTTGGCATATGTTGTAATACATGTATAGAGACTTCAATTACAATGTACTTTGAAATAAACAGTGGCTGGCCAGATGCAAACTTTGCAAGAATTGATTGTTAAAATTCAAAGCTGACCACATGGTTTTGCTTTGATCAGCATCAACTGTTTCAACTGGGTGAACCAGAACAGAAAGCACAGGTACAGACGGGGACTAACCTCTGGGTATGGCACATGTCGATGTGTTTATCATGTTTATTTCTGTGTCATGAAAACTGAGTGAGTCCAGTTAACATTAAACAGAAATTTTATAACTGTGTACCTGTTCTGTCATTGTTGCATCTTTAACTTGCAATTGACGCCTTCTTGATGTGGGAACACTTTGAGCTGGAAGTTCACTTTTTTCACCTGAAAATAGTTTTTAAAATTATACATTGCATGAATTTATCCACTGCTTTGTAGCATATAATTATAAACAGTTTCAAAAGCATGCCAAATTGTTGAGTAATATATGTTTTGAAACATACAATTCTGAAGAATTTTTTGCACCAATTACAAAATGTAAATTTTAAATGTGAAATTTAATATTATGATTCAGTCAGTTACTCAATTTCATAAAAATTACACTTGTTCATACTTTACTTGATACTTTATTTACTAAAGAACAGTGTGTTATTTGCTTGTTTCAATTTGTCTGAATGAAAATCCTATGTAAAGGTATATTTTGGTTGTAGAATCAATATAACAGATTAAATGACAAATTGAATTAATTGTCTATGCAACAGTTTGCGAATGAATATTTATTTACCGCTCAACCAATCAACTTATGTTTACCTGATCCTGTTGCCTTAGACAGCGTAGTATTTGTCATCTTTATTGTTCCTAGTTCTCATAGGTTTCCTAACAGTGTCATTCCTAACACATGAATTTCTGTTACCACAGGAGATCACTTGGGGTACAAACTGAAAACAAAATTATATACATACACATGTACATTTCTTCAAAATGCCTTTCAGTTGNTCATGTTCAACAACGGGAGCAAATCTCCGTAGACACACGAGCATATGTCCAGACACAAGTCAGCTGGTCTGCTGCATCGGGACTGTTGGCAGGTCTTACATGTTAGGTGGTATGATGTGTTAATGCATGGCTGGTATGAGGGGTTACTCAGCATCGTACTGGTTAGGTCAGCAGGCTCGGATAAATTGCAGAGTGGTTTGGATACACAGATGGGATTGCCTGATCAACACAAATAAAATGCTGTTTTACCTTAAAATAACAGCTAAGAATACTTCAGTTATAGCATAGATCATACACTTACTTGTACTAAGTTGATATCAATAAATTATATGAATACAATGATATTCACAGATTAAATGACAATGTTGGACATGTAGGAAGTATGCAATGAACGTCATTATTCATACAATGACACAATCCTTTTACTTTAGTCAATATGGAAATTACTATATTCAGATTAATTCCATGAACTCACCTAAATATCCCCAAATTGAAGATCACCATTATGTAGGTCTTGCTGTAGATTATGCACCATGGTTTTTGCTTTTTTCCTTTGTATTTTACATCATGCATGGCCCCATCTACACACAACAAAGTAAAGGTGCGTTCGATTACACACACTAGTATAGTATAGAAGGGCTCGATACGGACGATACCATTACACCATATTCCTCATCTTTTCCTGTTACGTATTCCAGGACATAGCTATAGCCTTCTAGCCATTTGTCTTTATTCAAGTCACCTAGTGAAAAATAGAGAGTTAAATGACACAACTGAAACTTGTGTTTTTAATGGAAAATTAATAACATTGTTTTTAGTATCCCTTCATCCGTCATAGAAACATGAATGTACAACCTTTAACATATAAAATCCATGGTAAAAGTTTTTGGACCACCAATCTGAGAAGCAAGTTTGAAAGAGTACAAGCATTTTTACTGATGTTACTAATAAGCAATTACTGTTGCGACACTTTCCTCAACAAAAACAACTTCCTTGAGACATGGTCCAGTAATTATAAGAGACATTCACAATATTGTCACACCAATGTACTGAAAAACAGGATTTACACTATTGATTCCTTATATCAGCTATTTTAGGGCTGAAATATTTTAGTGGTTGACTTGGCATATGTTGTAATACATGTATAGAGACTTCAATTACAATGTACTTTGAAATAAACAGTGGCTGGCCAGATGCAAACTTTGCAAGAATTGATTGTTAAAATTCAAAGCTGACCACAGGGTTTTGCTTTGATCAGCATCAACTGTTTCAACTGGGTGAACCAGAACAGAAAGCACAGGTACAGACGGGGGCTAACCTCTGGGTATGGCACATGTCGATGTGTTTATCATGTTTATTTCTGTGTCATGAAAACTGAGTGAGTCCAGTTAACATTAAACAGAAATTTTATAACTGTGTACCTGTTCTGTCATTGTTGCATCTTTAACTTGCAATTGACGCCTTCTTGATGTGGGAACACTTTGAGCTGGAAGTTCACTTTTTTCACCTGAAAATAGTTTTTAAAATTATACATTGCATGAATTTATCCACTGCTTTGTAGCATATAATTATAAACAGTTTCAAAAGCATGCCAAATTGTTGAGTAATATATGTTTTGAAACATACAATTCTGAAGAATTTTTTGCACCAATTACAAAATGTAAATTTTAAATGTGAAATTTAATATTATGATTCAGTCAGTTACTCAATTTCATAAAAATTACACTTGTTCATACTTTACTTGATACTTTATTTACTAAAGAACAGTGTGTTATTTGCTTGTTTCAATTTGTCTGAATGAAAATCCTATGTAAAGGTATATTTTGGTTGTAGAATCAATATAACAGATTAAATGACAAATTGAATTAATTGTCTATGCAACAGTTTGCGAATGAATATTTATTTACCGCTCAACCAATCAACTTATGTTTACCTGATCCTGTTGCCTTAGACAGCGTAGTATTTGTCATCTTTATTGTTCCTAGTTCTCATAGGTTTCCTAACAGTGTCATTCCTAACACATGAATTTCTGTTACCACAGGAGATCACTTGGGGTACAAACTGAAAACAAAATTATATACATACACATGTACATTTCTTCAAAATGCCTTTCAGTTGCTAAATTAAACTTTAAAACTTGACTTTTTCTCTTTCACACATGCTCTTTTATACTCGGGTTAATGACAGAGTGTTAACAATACATAACACATGCTATTTTTCGGGAATAAATTAAAATGGCAATATATCAAATAATGATACAAACATACATGGAAAGAAATGTGTCAAACATTAAAAACCATGTGAGAAAATGCAGATCTGACACGTTCAATACGGGGCAAACACATCATAACAAGTATTATAGGAGTGATAAGAAACTGACAACCTGTGATTGACTAGCTCAGTGATAATAAATGCAGCATGTATTGCTTAATATTTAATCTTGAACATAATAGTAATATTTATGTGTAAATCATACTTACTTGCTAACGGACTGTCCTTGGCTAGCTTACCGGATGTGCCCAGCAACACCTGTGCTATCGTTTATACCCCGCTTCTGAAGAACTACATGTGTTTTAGTTCTATCATTTTTGGACATTTAAGTTCAAGATCACATACTTTTATGCTGCAATTGTTGTTACATTACATGTAATATTGTCATTTTGAGACAGCAATATCAGTTTTATTGATGTTTCGCAAAGATTTTCGGATTCACAGATTGTTTTCACAGAATGTCCATCATGGCGAGATGTAAACAACATCCTGAATTAAGTATGCGAAATCCTTGTTTTTCCACTGAATCTGCATGTGATCCATGTTTTCTTCATTAGCAGTCATTGGTAATGATATTCATGTGAGCCTTTGTCAAGACCAGATTATTTTTATACAAGGTATGAAGACACACAGTTTTGCTTTCTTTCGAAAGTCTCAAAACCTAGCGCAAGTTTTCACCCCCGCGTGTCTTCAGAAAGGAGTTTTGTCGATATTAGATAAATATTCGATCGTTGCTTTCAGATATGCATATTTAGCACGAGTCTTGATGGAGTGATGTCCCCTTAGCACGGGTACGGGAGTAAACAAAACACCCGCGATCACAACAAAGTCAGAATTTCATGTGAAATATGTCGTTTATTTCAACAAAACTTAGGTATTTTGTTCTATATACCTGAAAAAAATATGTCATTTTTCTTTAAATATATAATTATATATGAAAAACACGGTTGACTGCAGCGTACAGGTTTTCTCCCCTTGAAATACACATTATCATCAATTTCTAAATTATTAGATAATACAAAATAAAAAAATAAAAATTCCACATTTAGAAAATAATGTTTTAAATTATTGTATAATTTGATAAAAAATATAAACGATCGCGTTAATGAGATATTAAAATATCTCTATATTCCTAGTACGGGGTTTTGGGACAGGAGCGGAGTACATGATTTACCTACCACCACGATTACCTTCAAAATACGATCTAATAATACATAGATACAACTGTAAAAACAACTCAATTATTTGTTAAAAGATCATACTAATTACTTGTCGGTAAGTTCAGTAACAACTGTCTTTATATAAACATTTGTAAAAACAGTTCTAATACGTATATAAACGACTCACAACTTACCTGTCTATGAGAAACAGAAACAGGAAATAGATAGTTTGTCCTGATGACAAAGGACGGAAAAGTCTAGAGAATTCCGAGTGACTTTGGTGAGTCCGGCAAACGGCAGCTGTGAATGGTATAGCACCTAATCGAAAGCCGCAGAGTTGCGTATTTTTGTAACCGGAAATGAAGTATGTGAAAGTGAAAGTAGAATTTCAGTGTCAACAAATATACGACTACTTGTAGCGGGATTTACATTATAATGATTATTTTTAAAAGAAATAGGAGGTATATAGGGGTAAGTGGTGGAGAAAGGGTTATTAATATGTAATTCACAACGGAAGGAAAATAATTCCTGCATGTATAACTTACTGTTTAGTCATTAAAATGTTTAGATCTGTATTGTCAGGGATCTACACATCCCTGGTATTGTCTTCCCTGATTTTCTTTTATTTTCAGTAATTTTATTAAATTGAATTACTACACCTACAAACACGATCAGATGCCTTTGATAGCGGGTTCCTGAATTCAAACACTTAAAACAATGCTTGTAAAATTACTTATGGAAACTCTTTTAACAATAAATTTATGTGGATTAAATGTTTATATTATCGCAGACACATTACATCAATTTTCACAATTATTACACATGCAATTCACAAGAATTTAAAATAACAAATTTACTTTAGGTTACGGACATTAATTTATTGTTTCAGATTGGTAATACACAAGTACTAAATTTCACAGATCATGAACATTGCTTACATATATGTATTAACATTGTTTCAGACCCATCTTCAGTGTCAATAATTACACCTGTATTTACTATTACAGACAGGTTATGAATTTTTAATCATTGCTTCAGACTGGTTATAATTTTTTGTTAACTTTCACAGACATGTAACAGAAAAATAACATTGTTTAAAACTGCATGATTATACATATAACAATTATATTTATTATCACTGACATGTTAGGAAAACTTATCACTTGTTTCAAACTGGCTATAAAACTTGTATTATACTATCACAAGTAAGGTTATCAATTTTTAATTATTGTTTCAGGCTAGTCATAAACTTGTGTTAACTATCACAGACATGTAAGAAAAAAATATTGATTGCTTCAGACTGGTTATAAACTTATAATTATCTTAACGTTCACATACATTATGAGGAACTTTTATTAATTGTTTCAGACTGTTAACATACATATATATATATTTACTTTCACAGAAAAAAAGTTATATCCCTTGTATTATAGACAAGTGATACACATTTCATCATCAGATTGGTTCTAGTTGTGTAGATTCATCTTTGTGTGACCAAAAAGGCACAAGCCAGATACATGCATGGTAACATCATGCACTTTATAAGTATTTTAATATATGAATTCATGGTAAAATATATTTATCTAATCAGATAAATAAAACTTTATTTTCCATAGAAATCTAACCTACCTGTCAGGCTGTCAAAATAATAGTACTACTGTGAAAAAAATACATTGAGGCTAACTGAAGGAACTACTTAGGTTCTTTTCAAAGTAATTTCCACATCATGATCCAGCGCTCCCAGCTTTTTAATTGTTTGATGCACATTTGGCAATGCTATTTGGTCTAGGGTATATATATGATATATACCTATTTGTTTAACAACATAATTCATGTAGCAAAACATTAAAAATGTGTATAATCCTCAATTCCAAGTAAAGCACTATTAAGTATCGTTGAAGCCCAGAGATATATTCACCCTCTCATTGAAATTAAAATAATACCTATACCATTTTCTGTTAATAATGTAACATGTATCACTATATTTCACCTATTTAAATAGTGTTACAATTGCGTCAGAATACCTGTCAATATATACAGTGATAGGCAATCAATTATCAATCTGTCTTACTGTCAATAGTGATACATGTATATATAAAACATGTATAGGGTAAATGTAATGGACAATTATTGTAAAATGTATAAATATACATGTGTAATACCTCTCTGTGGTAGTAATACATGTGTAATACCTCTCTGTGATGGTATATACATGTGTTATACCTGTGTGTGATAGTATAGTATTACATGTGTAATACATGTCTGTTATAGTATATACATGTTTAATACCTATCTGTGATAGTATATACATGACTGTGTTATACATGTCTTTGATATTGTATACTGGGTACATGTGCAATACCTATGTGTGATAGTATATACATGTGTGTTATACCTGTATGTGATAGTATATGTGTCATACCTGTCTGTTGTAGTATATACATGTGTAATACCTGTGTAATACTATACATGACTGTGTTATACATGTCTGTGATATTGTATACATGTGCAATACCTGTGTGTGATAGTATATACATGTGTTATACCTGTCTGTGATAGTATATACATGTGT